AGAGAGAGAGAGAGAGCGCAAGTTCAAAACTTCAAAACTTCCAAGCTTTCTTCTACGGTCGAAAAAAAGGTAAACGTTTGGACAGTGTAATTTAAAGTTAGAGATTTAATTAAGAAAAATAATGCCGTGTAATTTCTGATATAATTTTTGATCCTTCGTTCTCACCCGCGACTGACTTCCCTCCTTTGAAAGGGGCGGCAAACAATATTTTTCTTCGTTTATTGAAAGTTTTATGCAAAGTAGTGGCGTGATATAAAACGCGTTAAACACTCCATAACTCTGGAAAATCTACATAATTTCCCTGTATTCCACAACTTCTCGAACTCGGTCGTCCCGGATCTTTCCAGACTTCGCTAACTCTTCGAATGTAACGCAATTTACAAGCTTTCATATTTCATTCGTACTCGCTATTTCGAGGCACGTAAATCGTCGTTCAAAATGAAAATATGATAATCCAGCTTGTACGAAGAATTTAACAAAATTTGCAATTTCAATATTCCGTTCGAAAATTTCACGCGTTGTGTTGATTGTAACACTTAAGTTGAAGTGAAAGAAAGAAAAGAAAAAAAGAAGAAAAAAAAACGAATATTGGAAAATTTCTTCTTCATCTCTTTTATGAGAAATTTTAATACGAGTATTCCATCCTCGCGAATCGTCGTCGAAAGGGCAGGACCAAGAAACAATCATTGATTTTATGCAATTCATTCTCTTCAGAATGAAAACAAATTTTTCAAATTTAAAACGTTAAAAAACGTCTTCGAGGCAAGACGAAAAGAATCAATTTACAAACTTAGAGATTTTAAATTACGCGAAGAATAATTTTTGCTTCTTCTTCTTTCACATTCCCTTCTTTACAAATAATCTCTTTTTCTCTCTCGAGAGATCTCGTAAAGAGAATGAAGGAAGTTGGCGATTTCCGCGAGATTTTCATCGAGGAGAAAAGTTTTGGTCGAGACGAAAAGAAGGTTATCCAGAGGGCAATAACAAAGGAAACAGAATCACGTTGAGAGGTGGTGAGAAAGCCCCTCGATAATTCCGGTAATAACGTTGAAAGCGATATAATTCAATTTTTTCACCCGGGAACGGTGTAACACGCATTTTAATCCAGCCACGATAGAAAAACTTTCCGTGCTGGTAATTGGACGTTGATTAAAGCGAAACGGCAAAGATACTCGGATAGGTTGTTAGGCCGTGAAAACGTTTCGCCGATTTTACCAGATAAAATCGACCCGATCCACCAAGAGTTTTATGCGTTTCGATTGAAATCGATTAAATGAAGATTATTATATGGGATAGGAGATATTGGAAAACTCGGTTCAATTTCGTAGATGGAATTAACGAAAGTATCGGGAAAGTAGTAGAAATCGTGATGAAAAAGTGTGATGTTTGTATCCGCTCCCCCCCTTTTTTTTTTCATAATTTAATGCAATTTTGAATTGCGAACGATATATGTGATTTCATAAAAAAGAGTAGCTGGAAGAGGAATTACAATTTTTGAAAATGATGAAAAATTGTAGGGCGGGCGAATCGAGAGTTTCGAGCAAAATTGATTACGCAGTATGCAGATGAAAAATCATCCAACTTCCTTCCGGCAAAGTTCCACAGACTCTTTACCGAATGCAATTAGTCCAATTATCTTACGTCCACGTAGTTGGAACAATTATAGAGTATCTACGAGCAGAATGCGTTAATGGAATCAGCGCTGCATTTAACGAATGGAATCTAACTTTGAAACAAAGCAGCCCGTTTAATTCCTATTGAATAGAAATTCCAAACAACGTACGTTTTTGTTAATTCGAAAATTAATTAGTAAAAAATCTACTCGTAAAAATTTCCCTCCTAATTCTCCAAAAACGTAAAATTACATTTAATTTCCAAACTCCAAACTTTTAAAAATTCACACCGTACCCATAAACGTATCTAGGGTTCCCTAGCAAACTGTACATTTGAATGAACATTCATCTACGAATTTATTTCATTGCACGACGATCAACGAAAATCAACGAAAATCTATAATAATCTCTGACACAATCTCTAAATTTAAATTTAAATCTTAACCTTCGACTCTAAAAATCCGCGCAATTCGATATAAATATATCTACGGTTTCCTAGTAAGTTATACTGGTGATCCATTCAGAGAAAATCAATAAAAATCGATTCGAAAAATTCACGATACAATTTCTAAACTTAATTAAAATTAAATTAAAAACTTAAAACCTTCGATTCTAAAACGCACTATTCCTAATATCTACATTACCGCGTCTAGGGTTCCCTAATAAGCCGTGCATTTTAATAAACACCGGTTCACGGTGTTTCATTACGAGGATAATGGCTCGACGACGCATTTACGTTACCTCTTCGTCGTTTTAATCTTCGCGAATAGAAGGAGGCTTGGAAAATTCGCAATGTTCACGGGGAGGGAGAAAGTCATCGAGACGTTGTTACAAGGGAGGTTAAAGGGAAGGTACGAACGGTTCGATAGCCGGATGCAAGGTCTGCGATGAGTTATAAATTTTTATGAGGATCGCTCTCGCGTTAAAACGATACCGGGGGTAGAAAATTAATGGGATGAGTTGGAACAAACGAAGTGGCGCTTGATGTTACAGTCGCCTTCGTTTCGTTTATGGAGGGGAAGAATGGTTCGATAAATTTTTCGCCAAGATTGCGTCTGGTTATAAAGATTTTATTGTTTTTGCGAAATTTCTTAAACATTTTTGCGGGTGAATAATTTTCTGACTGTGGCCAACTTTTATTCTTCTCGTTCCACTTTCTCGTCGTTTTTTTTGTCTAATCTTTCTAAATATAATTTTCGGGAATATTTTTAGAATTATTTCGAAGAATTCGAAATTTGATAATTCGTTTTAATAAATTAGTCATGCATGCCTCGGAATACGACCTTCCATTCTCTCTCTTTCTCTCCGGATTTTTATACATATCCCAATACGACGTCTGCGAATTTCATCCAACATTCACCTATTGATGATTTGCATTTGAATTTCGTTTTCCCAAATTTTCGATTAATGTATGTAAATTATTAGGAAAACATTGGTGCGCTGTTTCAGAAATGGCATCCAGGCTTGGCCAAAGCTGCGCAGAGATGGGCCAATCGATGCCTTGGATTGGTACACGACAACGCGACTGGCCTATATTTGGACGGTTTTGGGCAGAGCGGACAGAACATCTTCATTACGACGAGAAGGACACTGTGGTGGGTGTACACACAAGTGTATTTGTGTATCAATAAATATTTCACGATTCTTAAAATCTTTCCTATGCGTTATTTCGCATAAAATTAGATTGTATAACTGTTGTGTATCGGTTTAATTTTAATCTTCCTTTGCTTAGAAGAACAAAGGAGCGGATCAAAATGAATATTACGGGCATCGAATTATTTTATAGAATTTTAAGATAACTCGGTTTCTTCTCTAAAAGATGTAGCATCTTGTTGCCTTTGAATTTATTCCAAGGTTCGTTCGAAGATCGTCCAATCTTTATTAGGATAGCTCTTTCATCAGACGAGAAAGTTTCGAGCCAAAAATTTACGAGTCAAAATGCATCAGAAAGTACCACCAGCTACGATGTTTAATAACCAATATTCTCTGATCTATTCTTACTAAATCTGGAACGGATCAATATAATATATGATTTTCTCTTCCATAATTTTTCGAACAAAATTATTATTGTATGCCGTAACAAATTTAGAAACTTTGGAAGAAACGAACAAATTCTGAATATTGAATTTTATAAATTCATATGAAGTCAATTTCTTTTCTCTCGATCTTCTCTAAGCTTTCTCAAGACTTTTTAAAATTGAGCAAAGTACCCGGTACCCTGAGTCTCTAGAGTGTATTTTAATACAACACACGATCCTCGAAATTCTTTATTACTCAAATTCGCGTCAAGAAGAAATCATCTTTCTCGAGTGCACAATGTATTCGCTAACCCAAAGGAAGATTATTCGCTGCTGGGGATGATTGTCTCCATGGTGTGCTCGAGTAAAACCGCATAATTCTGATGCACAAAGCATCGAATTTCGTGAGAAAGGGATCCTTATTTCCATACCAAGTTACCACGTCGATACGATTTTAATTAATTCGCTGTTTATTATTGCTTTCAATGAATTTGGTCGCGTAATTTCATTAACAATTGAAAATTCCATTAATTCCCATGAATTTATGAAATTTAATTAGATCACGAAGTGAAATATTCAAATAGCTGCAAAATAAAATGTCGTTGTGGAAGAAAGGAGAATATATTTTTTTCAAAAAGATAATTATATAAGAACGATATCGTTATTTATCAAACTTTGAAGCATCTTTTCGTTGTACAAAATTACAATGATTAATATTATTATTATTCTATCCTTCCTTTTGTTTCACATATTTTTTTACAAATATTCCGATCTAAATTATGAAAATTATATTTACGATCAAAAACATGAATATCCTTTCGAACGTAGCATAATAAAGCATGACGTTTCAAT